TAGCAAATCTGACACACGTTATAGGAGACAGACGCTCTGGAAGTAGTTAATTCCACTGGTTTGCCTCAACTGTTCAAATCTCTTTGCTCTGGTAAAATAGGACTGGATAGAACATTAATTGAATCATTACTACCAGGAAACATAGAAGTCCCAGTCCTGCTCTGCCTTCAGGCCAGTGGATACAATTCTTCTCTCACTGACTTCAGTACAAATTAGAAGTTGGTAGCACAACAGGGAGAGAGTGGGTGTACTTACTTATAAAGAAGACAAACTACCTTGCTCAGCTGAAGGTGAGTCCACTTCACTTACTCAACAACATTTCATATGTTGTTCATATGACACATACTCAACATTTGCATGCCTACACTTACTCTGCTGCAGTTTGTAGAGTCAGATCTCAATTGCTTAGTTTTAGCAAATGTTATTTTTTACTTTAGTTTTTCAGATGTATTACAGTTAGTATTTTGTACATTTATGCCATCAGGCTTGTATCTGGTCAGCAGAAGCTGCCGGTATAATGTATGTAGGAACAAAATAGCAGACTCCTAAACAAATCACATGGGCATTCAAAATGTGTAGCACCGTTTTATATCCTCTTACAAAGTACAATTGCTGAACACAAATGAAATGGTTTTAAAGCCATAACTGCAATTGCACACACAAGTTTGAAACTATGACCTTAATTTCCTCGTTTATTATATGCATAATTTGGAGTACCTAGCCTCTATAGCAGTTCCATGCAGATATATCAATTAAAAATTTGCCTACTTTAAATTGTGTCATATACTTGCACACAAAAATATTAAAACACCTACCCCATATACACCTTTGAAATTTTGGTATTGGGCAAGGTCACAGAGGAATGAATTATGCGAAGATAGAGACAGGGACAGTTTTATGAACCATGATCCTGTTTTGTTTTTTTTTTATTCAGCTGACTGTTCTTCCCAGGCTGAGCTATGTTATTGAAAAATACCCTCAGTGATAAGGAGATTTAAACAGAACAAAAAAATTCCTGAGTCAACCATTTATCTGCTACTGAATTCTGTGAACTAATCTTAGCTCTAGCAGGAGCTCCCTTAAGCACTTTGTATATTTTAGTATGATACAAGAACTTGGCATACATGGTACAACCTGTGGCTTACATTGTTTTAAAACTAGAGGCAAAAATCTGTACTGCATGGCACACACACAGTCCTCATCCAGCTCACAGCCTAGACCAGCCATGGTAAGGCAATACTGAAGTCTTCAAATTTTACTGCTTCTCAACACTGTGAAATTTAGTGACAACCATCATCAGCTATTGATCTTAATTTAGACACAGCTTGTCTTATGTCACTGATAAGTATAGGAAGAATATATTAAAATGCATGTTTCACTGATCATTGGCCAGTGAAGAATAAAAACTTGAGCTCTCTCCTGTCACACTGGTTTTGCTGGAGATAAACGCAACTGATTAGCATTAAATGGAACATGTTGATGCAGAATAACCCTGTCTATTTTTTTTCCTTTCTTAAAGTCAAAATTTATCCTAAATCGTCTTTTCTATTAGCTTTTTGCAGAGCCAGAGTCCCATTTCTCACCTGTGTCTCATTCATTTGTTGCAGCTTCATTGGTTGGTATTTTCCTCTGCCTGTCCTTTACAGCTGTACAGACCTTCAGAAAACAGACAAGAAAGACACCCCACACCCCTTTTCCCATTCCCGCATGTGTCTCTGCTTTCCAAGCTGACGCAACTTCCTTTGCAATTACTTATCTGCCCTGAAGTTACTTATGTGCTTGGGTTAACCTACTGTGACATCAAATATCCAAAAACTTAGGCACTTTCAAAGGGACAGAACTGCTCTGATTTGAACTTGTACATATGGAAATATATGCTGATTTTTGTGTTAAGCCTTCTATTATGATACAATTATGCTAACTACAGAAATGTGTTTCAAATTCAATCTGCTAAGCAACTGAGTGGGATGGAAACAAATGGGTTACATCCATGATTGTAGAGCAGAAACAATACATAAAAATGCCATTTGGGATATTAACTATAAATAGTTAATGGATGTAAAAATGCATTTCTGAAAATGATACCATTTATTGAAATCATATTTGTGAGCTATTTCATCTTTTTAAGGACTCTCACATTTGTGCTTGAGCTCACTGCAACCTTCTGACAGTTTTATCATTGAAAAGTTCAAGGTACATCTCATAATTGCACCAGGAACATGCATTTATCACTGGCAACAGTTCTGTGCCACATGAAATGAATTAGTGTAATAGACATGTCATGTAATAGCATCTCATTATCCTCCCCCTCTTTCTCCTCTTTCTTAACCTTCTGCAATGAGCAGGTCAAAAATGATTGTAAGTATAACAAACGCGATTCCTGACTAAGTTCCAGAAGCATTACTTTGCTAAAAGTGATGGTATGGCAGTAGAGTGAGTAATTAGCATCACTGAGAAAGGAAAGTGCAGAAAGTGCCATACAAGGGGTTGAGATGTAATGCTGCTGCTGCTGCTGCTGCACCTGTAGTTCAACAGATACTGAGGCACTTCAGTGGGACAGGGACCATGCAAGACCAGGGCCACTTAGAACCCCCTGCACCGGTTTCTTTCTTGCAGCCTTCTGATTACTGCTAAGAGACAAGATGAGACAGAGGCCAAAAACATGCAAAATACACCCAGACTCTCTCAGCTGTTCCTGAAGGGCCTGAGAAGGAGAGTAGCAGGTCTGTGTTGGAATGAGGAAGTAATACAAAATAAACACACCTGAGACTTAACTCTCACTATGGCCCTGTTGATGCAGTTCTCATTCAGCCTTGCCAAATTAGCCCCTATTCTACTGTATTTCCAATTGGCATAGACATACAGTACATAACAAGCTAGGTTCAGTACAGAGGAGTTTCCGTAATTTGACATCCACTGAAGATGCAAACAACCACTACAATCACTTGCAGGCATTTCAGTAGTGTGTCTCTTTCTAACTATTCAGCAATTTGTTTGTTTTAATTAGATCGCACAGTATATGCAGCTGTGTATATGGCTGCTAACTCAAAGACTAAGCTTCAACATAATGAGGCTTTAATTTCCCAACCACATCCTCATTATTTCACATCAAATCAGCCTCACCTTCCTTGCACTGTTTGACAACTGCCTTTGTTCTCAGCTTCTCATCCTATCCACGATACAGCCTTGTCCACCAAAATAGGTTATTCTCAATACCATTCCTCTAAAATGTGGTTTATGCTTTTCATTCTCAGAAGAGCTAGTATTATCTCCAGCTCACAGAATGGTTTCTTTCATCTCATGAGGCCTTGATCCTGCTCTGTTCCAGCATGTGGGAGTCAAAGTACCCCTAATAGCAGTCAGGTCCTGCACGATGGCTTCTACCCAGAAAGTGCAGATTAAAAGAAGCTAGATATTTTTTGCTAAGTATAGGAGGAAGCAAGGAATTAGTCAGGAAAAACTGATTTTCCATTATTAAGACAGATCTGAATAAGCAAGTATTCAAGTCAATTTACAAACCAAAGTCTCTAACTTCTCTCCCTCCAGCTCAGCTGCTGAGCTTTCAAAGCAAATGAATGTCTTTAAAGTTTTGCTCTGACTGAAGATACTGAGCTGAGAGCAAATAAACAGCTCTTCATTTGGTCTTGTATGAAAATGTTCAACTTGAAAGCAGCTCAGCCACTGACTGAAGTGCTACTGATTGCTGTGGCTGCACTGGGGAAGAAAAAAAGCATGTTCTTTTTGAAGCTTGATTAGGAGATGTTCTGCCAGTGGGATTTCAGAGGGAAGTGCCATTTCTCTCTTTTCACACCCTGCCTCCTTTCCTAAGGATGCTTCCAGGGTGGCTGTGCAGCTTGTCTCACCTGCTTCAACTCCCCTAGAGAGGTCTATATAGTAGAAAAGGGAAGGACGAGGCCCCTTTTGGAGGCAGCACACCCTAGCCTTCCATTGTTCATTCAACATACCAGGATCCCATCTTAATGTCAAGCCTCCATACCAGCTTCCAAGCCAGCTCTTCGGATGTCCTGTATTTCTGTGTCAGAACTGAAGTCAGGAGAAAGACATGAAGGATACATTTCCATAGTTCAAAGACAGGTGCACATAGAAGGTCACAATTCTAGCCTCACCATAACCCTGTGAAGTGCTCTATGGGTAGGATGCTATGTGCTCAGGTAGGACCCAGCTCTGCTTACCCGCGCTCAAACTACCCGTTGTGCTTTGCAAAATCAGGACCATACAGATTCTTATTTATTTTTTTTCAGCACGCTAAGGTGTGCAAACACAGAAGAAAACATCTTTAATGTAAAAGAAAGACATTCTGTTCTTGAAAAGTGTATTCTGAAAAATACAGTGTTGGCTTTTACTGCCAGTGATGTCAATGTCAAAGCTCCAATTGAATTCAGTGAGAACATGATTTGATCCAATGGGTAAATAATTGCACATATTTCACATCTCATTGTTACCGAAAACTGTTCTTCAAAAAAGGAAAATAATCAACTGAATTCAAGCACTCTATTAAAAAATCATTTGATTTGCATTCCAGTTGAAATCACTTTTAGCAATGAAAAGATCTTTTTGCTTATTCAAAATTTACATAATTAGAAAACCACAAAAGACAGGCACTGCTCTCTATTCTGGTCTCAGCTTAAAAATATTTCCAAGCCCAAATTTTGTATTTTCTTAGGATCTTTGCTTTTTACTAGTCTCAGCATTATAATGCTTTGAAAAATTCCTCTTGTCAAAAAAATACATTTTCTTGCACGTTTTGCTTTGTAAAACCTCAGTGTATCTATTCAGCATTATTAAACTGTTATCTCAACTGAAATGGGAACATAATCAAAAGGCTGGGTATTATTTATCTTAGTTGTGTCTCCACGTCAGAAAATTAAGACAGTGATGAATTACACATTCCTGTACAAAATTTTATTATCAGAGACAAAATTCAGATTTGTTCTGCTAAAAATACAGAAGATAAAGCTTCTCATTAAAAAAAAAAAAAAAAAGAAAAAAAAAAGACCCATTTAGTCAGTTCTTGATGTGAAATAAAATTTTATGTTGAGAGTTGTTTATGGAGTCATTTTTGAAGGCATATCATAGAAGAACACTGTTCTGATAAACTGTAACATAAATTCATATATTGTATCTTGTTAGTGGTTTAATTTGCTGATTAGCGTTGTATATTCATTAACTAACATTGTAAGAATAATTTTGTTCATATTCCCAAATCCTAGGATGTTTCAAACACTAAATGAATAACGCTGTTAAAATTGGCATTTTTAGATAACTGAGAATCAATATCTTCTCTTTATATGCAAAATATGTTTTCCTACAAAAAATGAAAAGACAAGAAAAGCTCAGTAAAAAGAAACTAACGACTCTAAATTGAGCAAAACCACATCATTATATTCTGAGCTTGAAACCAGTAACTACATCACTTGCCAGCTTTACATAATTTGAATCACATGATTAACTCCACAGAAATTAGGGGTACTGCCTAGCTGCCTACATACATGGCTGAGCTGTGGTCAACTGCTTTGCTGAGCTGACACTTTTAAGTGAGAGGTCTAAGTTTTAATATGCAATAATAGCTTTGTCAAAGCAAATGATCCAGAATTAGAAGCTGTATATGCATGTACAACTGGTACATAGAGACAAAACTGACATAATGCAGTGATCTGTGTTTCCTATAAATGAAAATGGCATTCTGATCTTGCAAACACTTATTTGTGTGAAACCACCAGTGAACTGTATCTCAGCTGAACGAGCTCCACCTCTTACTTGACAAAGAACTGAATTCCATAAGAGTACAGATTTGAGAAGTAATGCGAAAATATGTTCTTCTAATTACAGTATTCAGAATTAATCTAAGGGTGAGACAGAATTAATAAAGGGATTCATCTATTATAACCAGCATTAATAGCTGCCGGACTTTTTCTTTCTTCTTAAGGTATCAAAAGATCTTACGTGTGGAGTCTCTTGGGAAAAATTGCAATTTATTACCAAGCCTTTATTTTCAATATTATAGTCCATTATGTCATTGAAGCATATGTAGTGGAATAGATCATTACTTTTCAGGGAAATAGTTTATGTATGTGTTTATCTTCTTCAAAAATAGAGCAACAAACACCTTTCAGTAAAACATCAGACAGAAACTGCACTCTCTGTTTTTATAAGGCTATATGTCTCACCCATACCAAAGTCTATTGTCCCTTGAACATAAAAACAACATAGCAAAATTACATTTACACATATAATAAAGCTGTCTTTGTACAGGATAGTTATACAGTAGTTACAATGATGTTTCCGTTAGGAACTGCTCGGAATGTTTCTCCACAGAACGTCCAGGGAACTTCATCGTTGCTGAAATCTACTGTTTGCAGGAAAGAGAGGGTCATTGCCACACTCTTCACAATACAGTATTCCGCAGTTCTCCAAACATCTTATTATAAAGCTTTATCACACTGGAATCAATCGCAAAGTATTACTCTAATTTAAAAAAAAAAAAAAAAAAAAAAAGCAAAGGAAAGACTAAACAAAAAAATCTGCCATCAAACACGTGCTACTGAAGCGTACACACAAACATGTGAATCAGTCTGTACACCAGCCTAGCAGGCACCTCAGGGCTGCTCTGACAGCAAAGGGTTAGATCCTCAGCTGCAGTTCACATTGGTTACTTCAAGGGATCTATCTCATGCTGCGCTGTCTGAGGAGCCATGGCCACACGTGTGCCATCAGTTCAGTGAGACTTCATTTTGAAATTACAGAGATGAACAAATTACCTGTATCAAAACGGATTGCACAGAACAGATACTGCATCTCAACTCTTGGCCTCCTCCATTGCATCAGGGACATCCTTATCAGGCAAACCCACACAATGCTGAGCAAGAAACATTAGGGCCTTGTGGCTCACACCCCGGCTGCACTGCATACTCTTACAGTGCTGCCCACCCACGTGCTGTCCAACATCACTCCATTATAAACAGTGTACATAAAATAAGCAAAGTATTCAGCAATACTTCTTTACCACTCCACACTTAATCACTCAATACGAATCAGGAAAGTATAAATGCTGTTTTCAGAGAAAGGACACCAGCTCCGAATCCACAGAACTTGTGCATATGGGTGGTTCTCCTTAAACACAAAGTCACACTGAAACCATTCCACATAGAAAGTGTTTTATACAAGCCGACCTCAACTGTGTTACAATGTAGGGTATACTGTAGTGAAGCTGCCTTCCACTGCCAGCATGAAGACATAAGATGCACTCCAGATCCACCAGATTCTTCAAAATACACTTGACATTAAAATTCTGCTCCAACCAGGGCATATGGCCTTACTTCAGTAAAAAATCTTCATGCACAACACTGCCTTCCTCTCCTTCATTCTCTTTGAAAAATGAATTCCTTATGTCAGGAGGGACCGCTCACTCAAGTCAAGGTGGTTTTATTGGATTTCAGAAGATAGGCAGAGGCTCCTGAAGTTGCATGAAAAATAAAATGGCTCATTTTTTAAAGTTTTACATGTAAAAAGGGAACTGCACAGACACCAGTGTCACACGTTTGTACAGAATTTTTTGGTGGTATTAGTACAGTAAGTACTATTACAAGCACAAAGAATTTGTAGTGACATCTTTCCAAATCCTATGTTAGAAAATGGGCTGAACTCATGGCACATTCTCAATATTAACAAAAAATATCATAAAGATTGTCTGCATTCTTATGCATATTTGAAAATTTAATGTATTTTTTGACTGTTTGAAATGATTTCTCAACAACAGACACTACAATATTTGAGATCTTTACAAAGATTTTGGTCAACAATTTCCGGCTGCGGTGGCTGCAGTGCAGGGATTTGGATTTTTCCATTCAATGCAGACTCACTAGCTGGACCTGTTTCCAAGGTCACACAAGGCAATGATGCAAATCTCCGAAGACCATCCACAACCCATAGCCAGCAGAGACCTTCTTTCCCTGCCATCTAGCTGACAGAAACTTGGATTGAGATTCTTTGCACTCCAGCTGCCCTCCTGATGCAGGCAGGCTCATGGGCAGTGGATGATACAGCCTGCAGTTTTCAGGCTGCTCGATGTAAGGCTGGGAGAACAGTCTGTATTCAGGATGCTTAGCAACAGGACAGTGTTTTTACTCCCTCACACTCATACTGACACTGTGGCTATAAGCCCTGCTTTAGGACAGGTGGCCTGATATGCTAAGTACTTGTATCAGAAGTTACATACATAAACAGTTTCCAAAGACACGTTGCTTTTCCTCAAAGAGAAAGTTTCACATTTGACTCAGTCTATTTTCTCTGACTGCAGTATTGACTATGGTCATGTGGAAAACAAAGATCTTATTACACAGGTACTTAAACAAAGCCACCCTCTTCATCAAATATTCACTCTATTCTATCCAAAGAATTAGACTGATTAACATTTTATGGGAAAATTATCTCTACAGAGGACCTTTCACACACATATACATACATACACATGACATTTTCTTCTTTTATTTTTTGCTATTTAGATTTAGGTTTAGTTGTATGGTTTAAGATCCTTGCTGTGAAAAGTCCTCTCTGCATCACTGGTGATATTTCCTTTGACACTCTAAAACCCAATGAAATCAATGAAATATCCACAACAGCCAAAAAGCTACGTAAAATTCACCTGCAGTTCCCATCATAGTATCAGAGTTCTTGCTATATTCAGTGAAAAGATCATCAAAGGTCACAAATTTGAAAGAACTTAATACATACGAAGTTTTTCCATCTAAATCAGTCAAACTTAGTGTTCAAAGTACTCTCAGTAATGGCAGAAGTGACATTTCATTTCAGAAGCAAACTTCCTCATTGTTCTGCTCCAGCCACAATTAGCAAAAACTATCGTTTCAATAGCTGTCAGCAGAGGATATAAGAATAGTATTTCTACCAGCTACAAAGTAGTAAGTTGAGAATTTTTGTAGTGGACAGTGTTAAAGAAGTACAAAGGTTGCCATATTATTATGACAGCATAACATCGTGTCATGCCTTCGTATATGATTTAGTAAGCTATAAGAATTAGTAAGTGCAAGGAATCTCAAGTCTTGCAAAGGCCTCATCAAATCTCTATAAAATGACTTCTAAGCTTGAATAAGGGACACATCCACACTGGTTTCACATTTTGCAGCATCTCCTCTCACAAAAAAGAACAGATTTACATACTGTATTTGAAAATGCTAAGAAGTTTGGGGTATTTGGTTTATTAATCCTAATCCAAACCATAAAAATGTGCCCATCTTTAAATGAGGACAAAGGAAGAAAAGGACTGGTAAAGGAGAAAAAATATCAATCAGATAAATAGATATATATATTTTTTTTTAAGAGGACTATTAGTTTCCCATGAGGTATCAACTATCCTTTTAACACATAGCTGTGTGAAACTTCCTACAGAAAAAAAATTCTTAAGAAATATAATTAAATACAGGGGGATTGAATATTGTAAAAAACTTAAAAAAAAAAAAAGCTATAATTTTGTTGGATTTAGTCCATTTAAACTTCATCCTGATTCAGTGTGAAACAGTTTAAATAAAAAATATAAAAAGAATAGAATCAATCAATACAATGGAAAGACTAAGTCAACCTTAATTAGATCTGTAATACAAACATCATTATAATACAACAATTATAAGCAATACATCAATAGGTATGTATAATACATACATGTAGGGCTTAAAATTTGTGATAGACCAGTTGTTCAAGGCCACTACAATATTAATTTGCATCCAAAACTAGATAAATGTGTAAGAACTTAAATTCTAATGAACAACAATGGAAATTTCTGCGCACTGTGCAGAATACACAGGCTGAATTAAATTTTCAACTTTGAAATGCATTGTTAGTTTGCCCTTTATCAGTGGAAAGGCCTAAAACTTCTATGTGCAGTCTGGAGGTATGTGGCTTAGTCTGTGGTGATGAAAAACAAAAGTCATCAAAGACAATCTTGAACAGAATTTGAAATGGGAAAACCATTATTCAACTTTCTTTTCTCTGAAATCCCCAAAGTAACTCATGTTTGAGTGCTTGGCTTTCTGTGCACTCTTTGGAGATTATAACTTCGGGCTTCATTACAAATATAAAGAGTATTTGGCTTGCTTTTTTATAATAATAAATCCACATACAATTTCATTCAGTAGAAATTAAAAGTGTGACAGCTACATAGTGGCACTGAGGCTGAGTTTGGTCAACCACATAAAATAATACTCAGCACTTTTAAATGCCTTTCTTTAGAGGATATTCAAGAACTTTGCTAACATTAGTCAAGCCTCACAACATGCCTGTGAGGTAGGTAAAATACATAGGAGGAGGAAGAGGATTTAATTCAACATGGACACAATAATGCCTCTGGGCACTAGGTTCACTAGTACTGCAACACAGCACAGAGGTTTAGGGATTACTATAAGGCAAAGAGTTAACAGTACAAGAGAACAGGATTACCCCTTCTTTTCATTGTATGTGGTCAAGCTAACGTACCCTGGAGCAGATGACCACCCAAGCGTTTTATACACTTAGTCTGCAAAGAGTACCCTGGTAATAACACAAAATAAGAGGCTCAAAATGGGTGATAGGCCCATGATAGTGGTAGGACAGCTTAGTTACGAGATATTTACCAGTTCTTGAGGGAGAGAGTGGCATGGGAATGTGAGCCCAGAAATCAATACTGTCTCCACACAACTTAATAAATCTAATAAATGAAGATGCTGGGTTTTGGTTCTTTTTTGCAATAATATTTCAATTCACAAACAACTCACTAGAGTTAAGAAACTGATAGTGTAAAAACATTTTGATAATTTCCATGCCCTGTGAAGGAAACAGCATGATAAAACGTGCGTCTTCTAATTTGTCTGACCACATGTTTCCAGTATACAGGCAATGATGTGACCAGATGGTTGTAATGGACTGGGCTGTGATAAAGAAACACTTTTATACATCTATAACCACCCTCTGAAATTGCTGCAACCTGCCTCCTGTAAACTCAGTAGCTTTATTAATTTTCTGCTTGTTCATCTTCCTCCATGGCGGAGAGGAGAGCATTCAACCCTAAGATGAATCAGTTTTGTCCTCATCAAATAGCACCAATGGTGCAGATGGGCACTGTGCAACTAATTTCCAATTCATCACTGACCACTCAAATTAAAAACTGAGAAAAAAGAAACAAGCAAGTAAGAAAAGTATCACCCATTTAGAACACTTCTATGTGAAATACAAGGAAAGAGAAAAACCGTGTTTGTGTGGTACTATCTTATACGAATACACACACACACACACATTTCTTTCTCCATATTTCAGTTTTCTAAGTTGGCATAAATGGCACAATCCATATTTGCAAAGACACTGCCCACATAGAGCACAGGATTTGTCTGTTAGTAAATCACTACCGAGGCTGGTCTACTGCATGGAGACAGCTGTTGGTTAATTTTGTGTCTTTGAATGGAAGATATTCTCCTCTTTTCCTAATTTCCATTTAAATCCTATGTCGACTTATAATATTTGTGCATTATCAGCTGTGTAAGTTATTACTGCACAGGTTAGGTGACCCATCATGAATATCTCTGCCTTGTAAATTTGCTCAGAAGAAGTGATTCATGGATTCTATAAAATCAATGCAAAGTTCTCCTCATAGAAACTGACTATGTTCACAGCTAAAGTTACACAGTTTCACTGATCAGCAGTGAATAAATTTATAATTATAGCGCATGAATGAATGAATGACGTCCTTCTCTCTCATTTTCTCTCTCTCTTCCCCTCCAAGATGACAATTTAAATGCAGGAATATGGAAACTGCAGCTACAACAACTAGCAACTCAAAAAATGAGCTGGCACCTTTGTGACAATCAAAAGACAGTCTAAATGGTGGAGTAATTGGCAGCTAGTGGGAAAGCTGAATTTATATCTCATACTGCCCTAAGATGGAATCCTTCTGCATTTCCTCTTCCTTCCCTTCTTTTTGTTCATTGCAACACTGATTGTCGTAGAGAAGTCTTTGTGCTTTGTACAATGCCCATCTTTGACGTAACTGGAATTCACATATAAAATGTGGCTGTTATACATAAGCATGCTAGAATACAGGCAGAGACGGTAAAAGCATGCACAAAATAGTCTTTGAAGGGTTTTTTGTTTGCTAGTTTTTCTTTAACATTTACATGCACCACTTAATATCATGTTTGGTTGTGTACACTTAGGATCAGATTTCACAAGCACTCATGACCTTTTCTTCTGAAAAGCTTATTGACAGTTTCAAAACAGCCCGGTGTAAAAAATAAACAAACAAACAAAACAACCCATAATTAAAAAAAAAAGGAAAAAGAAAACTCCCTGCAATTTGATCTTGTCTTCATGATTTTAATGCTGATCACTTCTTAAACTTCTTTTCCTTTTGTAGTGCTTCTGGTTAAAAGTTCAGCTGGAAAGACAGATTAGTGTGTCAAGGATTTTCTTAACCACTGGAATAGTTCTTCCTTATAAAGTCTTTGCCACCGCACATTGGCTTCCACTGTTTCCACAGCACGAGAGAAAGAGGCAGCAGCTCCCTCCTCATAACTCTTTATAAAGTTCTTTAGCTGGAAATACAATTTAACAAGTTAAATTTGCAAGAACTAAAGAAAGCAAAGATTTCCAGTTCACATAAACAAGTCAAGCATTTAGGACAAATCTACGTAATCACTACTGAAGTATATGTACTATTACATAAAAGGATTTAATAGGAAATGTAATAAGACAGTAGATTATCAATTATGTATGAAGTAAATGCTTCAAATGGCACTGGAAGGTATTGACATGTCAGTGTTGGATCACAACATTATTTCCTCTTTCTCTCCTATAGCCCAGTTGCTGCACTGCACAGACAGCTGGTCCGCTCTGAACTTATATTTTTACCTAGAAAACTTAGCTGGAAGCACTGTAAAAGACTCTAACCCAGATTTATTTGTAAATGTCAGTAGAATGCAGCCTTGATGTTCTTTGGTTTAACCAAATTTTATACCAAATTTCTTTCAAGAGTTTATTTACCAAATTGATTTGCAGAATCCTTTTGATGATATAATGTAAATTGGTTGTTTAGAAAAGGAGTGGCTGGTTACAGAGGGAAGCGAATGGCAACAAAGCAAGTAGTGTGCATTTGATGAAAGCCTGAAACAGATTCTTTCCCTTATGATAAAACTTTGATCTTTTTTCAACAATGTGGAAAGGTCTCTACTCTGTTCTCATGTATACTCAAATTATAACCCTAGCCTCTGGGCTATTTTAGCCGATGGCACTGGTGTGCTTTGCATTACTGTTCTTTTTAAGTGAGAGCTGCAAGGCTGTTCTGCACAGTACACTGCCAGTTATACTGACTTGTACAAAATCAGGTAGGTTTAGCCACTGTTATTCACAATTAGTAAACCTTTGTTTCCTGATGATGCCAAATTCACCTTGTGTATTTAAATCTTAGTTTCAACAGCTTTTCTATGGGTTAAAAAGTGAAAAAGCCAGTCCTTTTCAGCTTCTCTGACCTTAGCAGCTGCTAACACATTCTTGCTCCTGCCCTGCTTTATCCTTAAAATAAGAACAGCCTCGTGGTCTGGAAGTCATTCAAAAATTACCTCTCTTAGTTCTTCTTCGGTATTAAGGAATTCTGTGACTCCACTGATAAGCTTTGAATTCATAAATAATGCTTCTCCATACCTGCAAGGGCAAAGAAGATGCATGAAGTCAGTGCAAAAGTCAGGCCAGATGAAATTGAGAAAGTAGTCTTCTGTTACGCAAGGGAGAGGACATGGGATCAATTCTGGAGATCCAATACAATAGTAGATAACTTTTAGTCAGCCACTATTAAGCAGAATGGGCTTAACCCAGCCACAGATGAGATTTCCAAAGGAAGGAGAGGACCAAATTGGAAAAAAATCCCAGGTTTAACAAAACAGCCTTCCACATCATGACACCAAGCAGCTCAAAATACAAGCACTATTGAAGAAGAAGAGCAGCATCGATGGAGAAATATTCTGAGGAGCCCTCCTAGCTCTACCATCACAAAAGACTTTTGAAGTGCTGCAGCTAAATGTATTTTCCATTTATCCATGTCATCTGCATTACAATTAACCACTGGTAAGTGAACTGAATCAAATCCTCTTGTTCCAGTACCAGATAATTAAAATAAACAATGTTGATAGAAAATAATAGTGCTAAAATAATCCCCTGGGCTATCATGTAGCATCTTCAAAGAATCAACTTGTCAATGAAAATTCAAAAGTTTGGGCAATGAATATTTAAAAGCTGATTTGTAGCTGGGTAGGATGTTCAATAACAATCAGCAATGGCATTCTGTGGGCAGCTGCTTTGAAACTGGCCATTCAAATACTATCCTTCCATCTTGTTCTCCACAAGCTTTTTTCAGCTTCTCAAACAAAGCAACTCAAATGGTATTACACCTGAAGTTTTGCATCACGTGTTGGAATAGTCTGTGGGTTGTTGTTTTTTTTTTTTTTTTCTAATGTCTTCAGTATGGTGTATGCAATTTCATTGTAAACCAAAAGCAATTCTTTTCAAGTTAGCTGTCATTCAGCACAGCAAGAAGCACTTCACAAATAGTTATCTTTATCTTTATCTGCGCATATATCCGAAGAAATATGTAGCTAATTTGAACATGACTGTTTTGAAGATATGGAATTCAGCTCTCCTGTCAGACATGCAGAAATAATGCCAATAGACCTCACTGCAATTAAGTTTCTCTGAGAGAATAATTCAGTTCACACCTTGCTTTTACAAAATGACTGAGGAATTCAAAGTTCAAAATGAAATGAACTAGCACAGTCACAGCTTTCTGTTCTGCTTCTATTAGCCTGAAATTAATTACTCTTACATACCTGGCTACTGTAAGCCGGACAGTCCTTCCAAAACGGAAGAGAGAAAGGGAAAGGGACAGCATGGGGAGAGGATTAAGAGAGGGAGAGAGAAGGGAAATGCTATTTTCTGAGAAATTTCTGTTTTGAGGAAGGCATGTACCTTGTTTCTCTCTATCTTGAGCTTGTGTGAAGGGAAACACTGGTGCAGGGATCAAAAATCCTATTCTATGAGCACTAATAATTGAATTACTCATGGATATTTCAGAAAGTACCCGTTTCTTTTTAAAACCTCAGCCACACTAGTGTATAGAGTCATCCAGAGGCAAACACCTCTTATGGGAAGTATGGATTTCATGGTCCTTTAAGCAAGTTTAGGCTTCCTAACAAAGGAAAAGCCTTTATTATTAGGTTCTCAGTTTAGAATCATAATTGACTGCTTGGAAAATTGGAACCTCCTTTTGATGGAGTCTTTTGACAAGGTTACCAATCCACTTTACAGAAGTGACCTCATAAAAACCATTTGGGGGGGTTTATTTTTCTTCAATTCTCTACTGAATCCACAGTGTGAACAAAAAGTAGCAAAATTCCTTCCACTGAAAACTATAACTTCATGTAGAACTGACCATTATGTATATTTGTTACAAAGTCAGTCACTAATAGCAATTATAAAATGGGCTCTAATGGCAAAAATTACAGTAAAGCTACAGCCTAAGATGACATCTTGCAAGTGTGATACAAAAATACACACATGTATGTGAGAAATCTTGCAAATATCAGTCTTTCTACTTTTCATGGAAAAAACAACAGCACTGTAGAAGCAAAACCTTAAAGCATTTCAGCTCCCGAGTCAGGGGCTCTCCACATGCTCCTTTACTTCTGCAGAAGCAATCCTCTGACTCCTTACAATTGTAAAGGCTCTGTGTTTGTCTGAACTGAAACTGAGAAGTAGCATATTCCATCCACTTTGGACAGACGTAAATGGTTTCCCAATTATTGACAAATTTCCCAAAATTGAGAAATGACTCACGAAGGAAAGGAGGAATTCCTATAGGTGGCTGTCAATTTTTCACACACAGACAGTATGTGCATGCATGATCAAAATAATTTAGAAGTCCAATTGCTCAGGTAATAGGAACTTGAGCATAATGTTTTCAGTTCTCTTTTTCAGAATTTTTTAAATCCTTACAGACTTACTCCCTTACTAACTTCTCACAAAGACTGGGCACCTTAATTTGTAGGTAGCCTATGTAAAAGCAACGAGTGCTTTTTAAGACTTCAGACATTACTGATATCTTCCGTGCAATGTGAATACAAGCATGATGTATAAATAAGAAGGGATGACATTATCAAAGAGTTGGAATGACAGCCAGATATGTGGTGTTTTAAAGTTAAAGGAAATATCATTATAGCATAATTCTATTGCCCTCAGCTATTTCTTATTATCTCATACATCAACATCTTCTCTAGTAAATTCAATGGAAAATACCATAGAGATATCACCTTATTAAATTAATGTTTATTACAGAGTATTATAGTTTTACATAAAATTAAATGATTAATTATAATGGTAGAAAAAAAATGTCTTGAGACAGAGTACACTTGAGCTATAATTCAGCAATAAAGCTTGCATTTTAAAAATGTAGTAGTGTAGCAAGCTTAAATCAGAAGCCTAATTCTGCATTTTATTATGTGTTTCACTGGATATTTTAAGGAATAAAGCATTAGAACAATTCCTCATTCTGAAATACTTTCATGGAAGATTTTAATCTGTAATTACAAATTGAAGTTATTTTCAATAAACACTGTGTAAGTGCAGCTTGTATGAAGCATTTCACACCACTGCATTGAATCCTTCGGCAATTATAGAAACGCCATTGGATGTCCCTGACAGAAAAAAATGCACAGGGCGAAGGGCAACTGTTACAATCCTTTTGTTGATTCTGAACAGTGTTTGGAGATCAAACTCTTTATGAAATACAAAGTCAGTGTTGGGCAAAGAGATAGACTTTGTTATTTTCTCATTAAAAAAAAAAAAAAGGCCATTAAAAGGTTTTCAATGAGGCCTTGCTGATTGCTATGAGCTCAGAAAAAAGCAATGCTTACCAAGAGAGATAAGTAAAATTACAATTTTAAGCACAGATAAGCTATCAAAAATTAAAACACACTAAAAAAAAAAAAAAATCTGGCATCAAACTTTGTTTTCTAAATCCATTTGTCTACACCATCTAACTCTGACCATGGCTAATACCACAGCTGTTAGCTAGGTTGTCAGATGAGCGTACCCAATACAAATTTTGACAAATTTATGCCCAAATAGTTTAGACATAAATCCCTATACGAATCCCTGAAGGAAGAAAAAATACAAGCTGCTACTCTGAGCATATTAAATTGCACTGGGTTGCATAATAATAATGGTTTTGCCATGAACTTTCTGAGTAAAAGTCCAGTTCTAGAATAATCAAACCAGCAGTGGAGGACTATTAATTTTTAAACTCTTAGTAGTCTTACAGCTTTCACAAAATATCCTCCTGCAATGTAAATTCCCCAAACCAAATTTCAGCTTAAACCTGCTTTCCTAGCCAAACTTCCTCTACAACCTATAAAATATCATCCAAAACAGCATGAACAAGTTTTTTAATTTTTGGGGAAGTTGCATAGTTTCTGAGTTTCCTTCGCTCTTCTTTTGATTATATGAAACATTGGAAGTTTGTGCATGTAGTTAGTAAGGAGAAGGATTTAGTTAATAAAAAACAGCATTTTAAATGCATCATTTAAAATACTCTGTGGTACAACAGAAGGCTTCCCATGGGTCCAGAATAGAACAGTTCTCCTGTTTCGTCTGGCAATATCTACCAAAACCATGAGGGTGGCCTAGCCTGAGGTCCTAATTTCTTGGACATCTGCTTTTGAGATCTTCAGCTTCATCTGAGCTACGGTCCTTTCTAGTCTGTCAGCATGAGTTGTGAAATCTTTCAGACCATCTGGCTGTTCATAAATAACTAAATAAACTTCTTATTCATTGAATTAATATCAAAATCTTCATCAAAAAATGAATTTCAAACATTCACTACGCATCTGAGTAGGAGCATGTTGCACATATTCAAAGGATTCACAGTGCTCATGGTATAAGGAGCAAACCTATCTTCTTCCTGCTCATTTATATTTAATTCCAAATGTTGCTCTTCAGTTACTTAGAACTCAACTGAAACACAGCACGGAAGGAAAGCATCAGAAATCCTTTTGAAAACAGAAAACAGTTTGGCTTTGTTCCCTACCCTCCACGTCCTCAATGGCAGTTGAACTACTGTGCTTGAAAAGATTTTTTTCTATCAGACTTAAAACCAGCTAAATTCCTTTGGGAACTCCTGCTTTTTTATCTATGTAGAAGTAAAATTGCAGCAATTTGACACACAGGCAGAATTCATTATCTTAAGCACAGACACAGTACAGTAATAGATGTACAGATGATCATTAAGGGAGAAATGTTTCTAGCTGTGATAAGAATAAATGTATTTGTCACTTACATGTATGTATTTCATATTTACATACATTTCTATACATAGAAAAAGAGAATGGATTTGGTTCAGGAACATACATACATAAATATATACACATACAATACTTACATAGACTACATAAAAACAAGAAAATGAACATAATTTTTTTTTTTTTTTTTTTAATATTTACCTGGCATTTAATATTTTCCATTTTTCTCGGAAAAACTTCCAAGCAAGGTCTCTTCCATGTGGATTTCGAGCAACATGGATTATCACATCAATTGCATCCTGATCCAGGACAACTTCTGAGTTGAGAGACAAATTCAAAAGTCTGGTAGGAAAAAAAATGAAAAAACATCCTATTTAGTTCAGTCAACACATACTCTAAAAACAGCATATCTAAAAGCTCTGAAAATAAATAGCCACTGTCAAATGATTTGTTTAAGTCTCCAAGCAAGTTTTGTGGTTTATTTCTGAAGACCAGACACATCTATGAATCAGATGCATCTTGAGTTTTGGTACTCAATGTCGGTACTTCTAAAGGTAGCATAATTGGAGGGATGCAAAATATTTCAGTAAAAGCTGAGTAGAATCTTCCATGTATAGCTTTACGAAATCAATAAGATCAGACTGGTCAATACATTCACAAAAAGAGTATACCAACAAAATTAGAAAAAAATTATAAGATTTCAAACATTGCTAATGAACATAAGACAATTCAGAAATGAAATATTTTATTTTTTATATTTATTAATAAAATAACATGAAAATTTAAATAGAAATCTGTACATAATTTTTTGTACCTGTTAAGCAAGTTTCTGTCATCACTGCAAGTTAAGGCTTCTAATAATATTTTCTTCTCAGAAACTGCTAGTGTAGAATGAAATTTCATCCAAATGAACTCCCATACATCTTCATCCATCAGTGAAACTCCTGTACAGTAGACAATGTCTCTCACATTAAGTGGGATTCTGAAAAAGAAATCAGCAATTGTACTCTGATAAATAAGCAGCCTCCTGATATTGGAAACTAAGGAAGAACATCACTACTTTTAGGAGATTCCACCTGTTTTTGTGCAAAACTGCATTTATATCTACTAAATGCCCAAAAATTTTCTTAGACATCCTGATGGATTTTCTAATAGATAATGCATGTTTGCTAATCCTTTCATAACTCTGTCATAGTGACAGAAGAACATAACTGATGAACTGTCCAGTTCATCAACGTGTAATGCATCATGTAACCTGCAGGACAGGTAACATAAGCTCTGCAAATTAATATGGGATCTTATCAGCCTGCTGCTGGGCTCTGTGCCAGAACTCCTCCTTCTTTCCTTAGTACAGAGGTTTTAAAATGAGAGATGACCAGTTCTCATTGCTTGTGCTGCAAACTGCTTCATCTTCATACAGTAACATATAAGTCCAGAAAAAATTATATCCAAAAAATGATGTTTTCAGGAGTAAAGAGATGTAGAGATCTGGTCATTTACTCAGCTTATTAACACTAATACAAAAACCACTGTGCTATAGGATGGCAGTAAAACAATATGTTACTCCAATAATATAAACTCAGACTACAGTTCAATGAAACAGCCTCTTGAAGCCAAATTCAGAACTTACATCAGATGTCCATTTATACCATTTTCTCCTAACAAGATCTCAGCTGAGCTTTCAATTTCCTACTCTGCTTATGCTTCCTATACAAGCATAGAAGTTAAAACAATTGCAACTGAAGGGTGTTCCTACAAGTAAAGCTAGCCTGTTCTCAGCCTTCATTTCCTGGTAAAAATTGTACCAAAATACCATTCTCTAGTTACTAATAGCTAATCACTTCTAGAAGTTCACATGCAAGACCTCTTCAGAGAATCTAGAAGTACAAAACACTGCTGTCATCATCTGGGCACTAATATAGTCAGATAGAGAATTAAGTTTCCACTGTAAAATTTGATGTCAAATCTTACACAGCACAGAAAGAAGGTTTCATCACAATTTTAAGACTTTTGCCAATGTCTCATACCATGGAGTACACCACATCACTCAAGAACCAAAAAAGTTCTTTAACTCTGGTCTATTTGACCTCCAGAAAAAAACCTTCCCACTGAAACTTTCTATTGTCAGCCTTCTTTAGTGGTGCTTTTGTAAAAATAAAAATAAAAAGCTTCAGCTGATCCTTTCAATCATGCTTGAATCCATGGAGAATGAGAACAACCTTGTTTTTAACATTTTGAAGCTTTGGCTGCTCATCACTTCTGGAGGCAGGAGGCCATATAACAATGATTGTGAAGGGATGAAGACTGTTGTTGCCTCTAAGGAGTTAACCAGTCCCAACAGCTATGACCACTCTTGAGAAAAAAAATAAGAAGAATATGAAGCTAAATAAAAGCAAAATGGAAAGAAAAAGTGGACCCCCTTCTCCTCCTGGATGAAGACCCTTGGGTAATCAATGCCCACTGCTTTTCTGCTATGCTTTTTTGGAGAAGCTACATTTTGAGGTTTTATTCTTGTTCTCTGGTAAGCAGTCATCAGATCTGCAGATGCACCTGCAGGTTCAGATGCAGACTGCCACATGAATTTTGCTTATGCAGAATGGACAAAGCTCATGATACAGCTGTTTTTTGGAGAATTTTTCCTCACAGGGCTTACTGTTATTGTATTACTGTTACTTGTATTACTGTTGAGGTATTTTGCATTTTACACAGACAAACTCAAATACTTATTCAAGAGAAAACTCTCCAAAGACAAGCTAAAAGAGTAAGCAAGAGAAATGGAATCGATTATAAAATTCCTAGTAATATGAAACATCTAATTATACTTACCACATACTCCCAATTTTGCCTTCTAAGGAAAAATTAGAGGTGCAATGGCTAACCTTTGTAATGAACTTCTGCCACGTAGCCAAGGCAGATTGGTGTTATACTATAAATCCTGACATGGCTCAAGATCTGTTTGTTTCCTCTTCTCCCACCACCAAATCACTGTGAAAACAGTCCCACCCCCAGCTGTCCCACATAATCACCATCGTTGGGATATTTCAAACATTAATGATTCTCAACAGAACAACTTACTTACCATCTAATATCTTTTTTTTTTTTTCCTTTTAATTTGGGATTTAGGTGTTAATACATTGGAAAGAAACATAAGAGTAGATGACAAATTAAAGAAAGTAGGGCACCAACAACTGGTTGTCCCAACTCCGTCTTAACAGGTGGTATCCTATATGAAGAACAACTGAACCCAGCCAATCCTTACTTCACTGCCAGATGGGCTTTATATCTTGACACACAAACACTAAATCATTTTTTAAAAGCACATGTAGTTTTTGCTGAGCTTTGCCAGAAGAAATACTTTCATTTGCTGCAAGAGATGCAATTTAGCCAACAGATACTCTAAGGAACCATTAGGCACCTGGAAAAGGCAATTCTTTTTAGGCTGATTGTGCCATTAATTCAGGTAGGAAGGAAGTGTATGCTGAAGGGACCGTATGCTGGAGGGTCACTCTGTTTTTGGGTACAGTCAGCAACAAAGGTAACTCAAAGCAGAGGCTTTGAACCCCAGAAAAGTTGGCATTCCTCACTCATGAGGTTTATATTGTTTCAATTTGCAACAAAACATATCAAATCCACAGGCTTTTCCAGCAAGGCCATACTAAGGGATGCCCCTTATGTCTGAAGGGATTAAAGTCAGGGAACATATGCTCAGTTGCATGCTCTGAGAAGGAGGAAGGACTTAGACAAGTGATGGCTCTGATTCCACGCTTGCAATCTGGTCTCCAGGCTTCACGCTAAAAAAACTCTACTGTGACTGCAACTGAATTTGGTCATCATATTCTCAGCTCTGCAGTCACTCCAGGGAAAATTTTAGGTCTCCATGAATAAGTTACTAGGACAGTACAAAAAAAAAAATAAAAATCAATCCCCCACAAGCCATGATATCAAAAAACAAATATTGATTTTAAAAGTGCTATCTTTAGAAATCATGAAACTTACAACTATGAAAAGCTACAAATTACTCCTCTGAGAGTTCTGTAATCAGATCCATAGACAGTGAGTTCTTTTTTGTGGAAATGAAAATTGTTTATGAAAATGTGAATATCCCCAAAGTAATTTCTCTTTAACTATTGCCTCAACAGAGAGCCTTCTAATTGAATTTTCTCCATTTGTAGAGATTTTTGCTCTTTCTCCTCTGAAATCATTATGGGCCAGTATTTCATCATCATATTTCAACGTGCGAAACCTCCCTAGTCTATAGTCTTTTTAAACTATATAGCTTAATGGAAAATGTTTTTCCAAAATTGCAGTTCCATGCCATTGGATCAGCACATGGAACGTTAGCCCACTGTTTTAACTGAATCAAGTGGATAAAATTAACTATTGTTTCAATACTGCTTAGGAAATAACACTGCAGAACGTATCCCCTTGTTACATTAAACCTAATCTGGGCCTTCAAGAATGCTTTCATTTTTAAAGAACTAACATGATTGATGGATGCTTCAGAAGAATAAAAATAAAGATTAACTTTTGAAAGCATCACTTTAAATGGCTTTTATTTGAACACTGATTCAATTTACTTAACTTTATTTTTCTTGCTTAACAGATATGAGTCTGAGAATGAAATATGTGGCTAGCAGAGCTCATGTTTAAAAATTAAATACTTTGGGAAAAAATTGAAAATTTAAACAGCTAGAAAAAAATTAATTAAAATCGTGCTGTGCCTTTACAGGGATTTTTTTCAACAGCAAATAATAAGGCTCTACAATGAACTAAGAATAATCTTCTAAGTTATAATTAATTGGTACATACTTGCTCCCATTTAAAGTATGTTCTAACAATTGGAGATACATTTATAAAATTGAACCATTTATCTTCTGGGCAAACTGTGTTCTAATTTTTTAAAGTGTAATTGCACACATTTTAGACTTCTTTGATTAAGAGACAAATTTCAATACCATTTAGGGTAATATTTGACAAAGAAAATTAATCAGAAACATTCTTCTTTATTTTTGGAACTGTTTAACATCTAACTTACGTCTATTTTTCTTGATGACTGTATTTATAGTTTTGTTTAATAGGCTACAATGCTCAGATAAGAACGGAACAATGGAATATTATTTCTTTGCACGCAGATAGTTAATCCAGATTCTGTTACAAGTAGTAGCACCACACAAATTCTATTTTCTGTTAGGGCAACCCCAAAGTTTGTACTTTTACTCGCTATTACAGACTCTGGGAGTACCACTGTGCACACAAAGGAGAGGAATGCTCTCTGCCACAGAACACCTTCAGCCAGATAACTGAGGATACAACTTTCCCTTGAAAACCAAAGCAGAGTTGTGATGAACTTGATATTTAATTGCTATTCTGACACAGAATCCCTGGGATATTAACTGACAACTCCACTTTGTCTGCGATACATTGCCTAGAGATGTTGTGGAGTCTCCCTCTTTAGAAACATTCAAGAGCCACCTGGACATAGTCCTGCGTAATCTGCTCCAGGTGGCCCTGCTTGGGCAGAGGTTGGACCAGATGACCTCCAGACATCTCTTCTAACCTAACACTCTGTGATTCTGTTGTTACGTGGCTGCTCAGGGTGGCAATGCTATGAATACCGTATCTCCTCATTCCCAGTGTGCTTCAGACCTTCAGGCATCATGTGGGTCTGACTGACGCCTGCAGAGAACACAATTCCTCAGGTGATGCTTACTGCTATTGGTCCTTTCCCTTCCTGCAGCAGAAATCCCACAACTGAACATGGTGCTAGCACACCGAATATATTCAAGACCAATTTAGTGAGTTAGTGGTGAGTTAAGCACTTCATTGTGAGACTGAGCAAAAAATAGACAATTCTTCCTTTGTCCTTTATGAATGTTTATTGCAACAAAAACTATGGTCCTTTCTGTTCAATTTTTTTACCAAGTTGTGAAGAGCTCATTCCTGAAAAGTTGGAGGAGAAACAATATAGTTTCTAAAGATCTC